CGCGAACGAAAATTCAGAAACGATGATCTACCGCTCGGACATGAAAGCGCGGCTAGCTGCAGTTAGGCTGAACCTCGGGGATGCTTAACCCCGGGCGGAGGAGCGAGCCGGCCATAAGTTTTATATCCTCGTGTCGCGGCTTCAATTTCATGTAATCTCCGACTCCGCGTCAGTCGTCGTGCCGTGAATCACGATTCAGGCGAACGCATATAGTCCACGTCACCGCGACGCCAGCCAGAATCGGCCATCCCGGGCGCATCTTCCTCGCGCGGGATTGACACTTTATTGCCCGCCGTATATATACGAGATTAGGAAAGACGACATTCCGCCGTCCACCTATGCTCGGACTTTCCGGGCGTTACTTCCGATGGCGTCGCCGATTCAATATGTGAACTCGCGCTGGATTTATCGGCCCGCCTCGAGCTTCGGCAGCAGCGACTCGGCCGTGACTCGTATTTGCGTCACGACTCTTCTACAAATCGCCGGGCCGAGGGCAAGATGTCGCATTTCCTTCCCTTCCGTCGTGACGGAGGGATCCTCCGAAACACAGCGTGCGCTCGCGACACGCGTGAGGAACGATCGATTGGACCGGACGCTGCTCGCCGATACGGTAAGACACGCTGACGACGGAATAAAACGCATCGACCGCCTCGTGCTGATACCGAGACGCGTGTCCGCAAGAAGCAACGCTTCGAGAGCTAACAATGAGGCCGTTAAGCCTGCTTTGCTATATGTAAATGCGTGGAAACCGTTGAAGTGCGCCGCGCTCGCGCGCGGCAAAGTGGATCCGGCATTGTATCGTTGGCCGTTTGCGCAGTTGCTTGTATCGGGCCACAATAGCTCTATAAAGAGGAATTCTAAAAGAATGGCTGTATAAAGATTTATAACGCCGCAGACTGCGCGCATTCTACAGACCGCATTTGTATGAGCTCGCGCACGATCGATGATGGCAAGCCACTTAATCTCCCGGCATCGATTTCGGCCAATAATCAGCCGCGTGTTGCGATGACCCCGCACGTGGAATCAAGATGACTCCCGGGTCCAGTCCGATGATTCGCTCGGGCCGAATTCTCACGCCGCCGATATAACAACATTTAACAAACAAAACGCGCGATCGTCGGATCAAAGACCACGCGTGGCCTGGATGTCGATCGATCTTCGCGCGATCGACGCGCGACTCGCTGCCCGGCGAGTTTGGCGCGTTTTGAAAAATAACCATCAACCGAGCGATACACACACGGCACAAATTCCTGGCCGAATTCCTCGTATGTGATACTTGATCCGGGTTACCGGCCCAACGCTGGTCAAGGGTTCATTATTTTTCTGGACTGCGGCACACCTGCAGCCGGACGCGCTCGGCTGCGCGGTACTTTTTTAACTCCCGTGAACTCCCGTGAAAGTCCGACGGGGGAGAGGACGAAAGCAATGGCATCGATTCTCTCGAGAAGTCACCCACAGGTTAAGGCTCGTCTCCAACACCGAGGCTTATCCACGATATTTCACGAGGAGATCGATTTCACACACAGCAGCGTTAATAAAGTCCTCGGATGATCCTTGCTGCCTGTCGATGTAACGGCAGGCGGCAGGATGTTCCGCGAATCACGTTAGCGATATTTACAGAAGGGAGAAGAACCTCCGAATCTCCGTGGAAATTGCATCACCGTGCGTCCGCGTGGACATTCGAGCCAGTCGATGGCTCAATGCGCTGGAACGTAAGTTGGTGCCAACTAAGAAAATTGGGGCGATTCGATCGGATTGCACGTGCCGCACCGTGCAGTATCTCGGCCACTAGACAGTCCAACAGGTAGAAGGAATTGCTGTGATCGGCTAACATGGTTGACCAGCGAGTCGATCGGTATCCGTCGGCAAATAAAATAAATCGACGACGCAACGACACGCGCTATGAACGACATTAAACAGAATGACAGGGCGTTACAGGTGACACCGCGCGGGATAACGTGCCAGGCGCACCGCCGAAGCGACGTTTTTCACGGCGGTTTCAGCTATTTTTTATAGCATTTTCCTTTCAGTTATGAAAACGCCCCGACCGCGCGCGCGCAGCTCGCGTGCCTTCCCCGTTTCGTTTCGACGGACGGGTGGACGGCCGGGCTTGGTGCTGTTCATAAAACGCAATATCCGGCTTTACGAGGTGCCCAGCGCGAACGGACAGCCGCCTAAATAATGATACAACTTGTTCGTTCGGCCGGTTGATCACGGCGCGATGCGCCCGGGGAAATCCATAAACGTTGCTCCGCTTCGCTGGATTACCGGCGGCGGCGCTTAAATATCCCATCGGATCGTTAATTAAATGACACGCGCCGATCACAGGGTCACGGATCACCAATCGATAAATTCTACTCGAGGGCGCACGGCGATCGCCGGCGCGCGCGCTAATTAATGCGATGCCGAGCTATTCGCGCCGAGAGCGCGCGCGCGCGCGTTCGTTTCGCGACAGATTCGAAACGATAGAGCACGCGATTTATGCGAGTGTAAATATCGGGAATACAATGGGGGCAATATTTGTCCGATATGAAACGCGCGCTGTAATGTCGATATGTCAGGATTTCGCGTGGAAGGCTAAAGGGCCAGTCGTAAGGTATCGAGACGATAAACATTTTTCAGGAGAGTCCGCACATCTGCCGGAATCATCTCGATCTTCCTACCGTCAATATTTTACGTCTCGAAAAACAGCCAACTTGATCGTTTACACAATCGTCACAGCGGACGCATTGTCCGGGCCGGACATGCTTCTCCATTTTCCGCGAACCGTTTTCGTTGTCGATGAAGCTGACGCACGTGAAATGCTCGCGACTCCGTCGCGGTAACGGAGAAGGAACGAGAAGTGAAATTTCCGTATCTCGTATTGTGCGATGATCGCGACGACGAGTTCCCGAATGAAGCGCCGGTATTTCACGTCTCCGAGAAATCTCAAGCTTGTCGTTAGCGCGATCGCCGGAGCGAAGCTCCTCGGACGTATTTTCCTTCTCCCGCGGGTCGTCCTCGGCTGAATCGACACTCGTGAAAGAGCATCGCCTCGTCCGGTAACCGGCAGGCGAGAGAATCAGCAGAGACAGTTAAATTTAGACACTTTGTGTCGCGCACGATATAAATCACGGGGGCCACGGTTGAACCGTTAAACGCGGCTGACCGGCTCGAATGGAGGAACAATCCCGCGCCGAGAGCGTCGACTATTTATTATCATTATAAAGCACGTCGAGCAGGAATCAATTCCATCGAACACATTTTCAATCGTGAACGCCACCATTGGAAACCCGAGACCGGCCACGGCCGATCAGCGCTTGCCTATCGTCGTGACGCGAAACTGGGTCGGACGGAGCTTTAACACCAAACACCTAGTTATGCTACGCGAGCGATAGCGATCAAATTGTGATTTCCATCAATCAGCGACTATTTATTGTCAAAATCACGAAACACCAGTCGGCCGGCCGGGCCGGGCGTCGGCGGGGCTGCTGCGGCAGCCACGACTTCCAATTAAATATCGCCGCCGGAGGGATAAGCGAGGGTGCGACAGTTGATCTTTCCATCTTCCGCCCAGCGTCTCGTCCGTTGCGTCGGCCCGGCTCCGTGGACGTGTCACTCGCAGAGATCACAGCAGGCGAACGCGCAGCGGTAAGGCCGAATATACCGGCCGGCGGCGGCGTCGGGCCATCGACGCGCAGCAGTCGGCGATAGTGCTATCGATCCGCCGATCGTGTAACCGGGCGGGAATCGATAACTAATACGCGAGGCTCGCCACCGGATGTCGCCTTGTTGATAAAGGACCGCCATGCGAACGCCCGCGGCATCAAGGACGCCGCAGGAGGGCACGCCGGCTACCGGCACATAATTGATTGGCATTAGCGCGCCTGATTGCCGGTCGCCCTCCTCCGAAATCGTCCCGTGGGCTGCTTAAATACTGGCCGACGTCTCTCTGAGCTAGACGGCACGTATTTGAGCGGTCGTGACAGTAATCAGGCAATATGGTGCGCGCGCGATCCAAGGAAGCTCGATCGACGACGGCTGGATCCGGGCTCGTCCGTTGCTTTCCTACAACGTCGGTATTGAATAATCCAATACCTGCGGGTCGGTCTATTGTCACAGGACGTCTAACGCTCTCGCTTCGTCATTCCTCCCCCTCCCCCTCTCTTTCTCTCACCCACCTTCTCTCTCTCTCTCTCTCTCTCTCTCTCTCTCTCTCTCTTCTCTCTCTCTCTCTCCCCCTCTCTCTCTCTCTCTCTCTCTCTCTCTCTCTCTCTCTCTCTCTCTCTCTCTCTCTCTTTCTCTCTCTCTCCCGGCCACACGTTCTGTCGCACTGGCAGATATAAACCGAACCGTAAGATCTAACGGTACGTACACGTCGCCTTCGATCGCGCGGAGTCAACGTCGAAAAAACGGGAAAATCAGGATTGACGGGCGGCGTTCCCACTGGGAAACGCGAGCGACACTCGGTAAAACGCAGCCGCGCGCGCTCGTCGTGCGGGCGCTCTTTATCGATTGTCGGGGGAAAAAAGTCGCCTCCAGCCCAAGCGACGGCGGTGAAGGAGCAGGTAAACAGTACCGTGAACGGGCGAGATCGCCTGATGTAAATCGGGTCTCTCCCGGCGAAGCGTGTAATTTTCAGGGCAAAGTGGGTAAAAATAGGCGCGGGGTATCCAGGAGATATCCAGGAGATGAAAGCAGCGGCCATTAAGTGGGGAGGCTCATTTGGCGCAGCAAGCACACTCTGCGAGAGAAGTGTGTGTCCATTGTGAATTGGGAGATTGAAACATCATTCCCTCCGCGGAGCATGGTGTAAAACTTCTCGCCAGCGGCACGGTCTGTTCAAGCAGTTCGACTCGGCTGAACATCGTTAAGACTGCGAGACTCGATATCGATAGCGATAAGCTGGCTGCTAGGATCGAACTATGCTACAGCATCACACCCATGAAGCGTGGAATACTCCCGACTGAATGGTTAGGCGTAGAATTCCTCGGCTGGGTGTTCGGAAACTTCTCTCTCACCTGAAGACAATGTCTCCTCGCGAGCCAACCGATGTGCTGAAGCTGCTGCGGATCCGGAAGTGCTGAGGCCAGTCGTAACGCTTTCAAGGTGAGGGCTGCCAGCGCCGAGTGCAAAGCATTGAACCAGACATTCGCCTCCGTGTTATCAGTGGCTCTCAACCAGCACTCGTGGACGCCGTCGGGCGAGTGCAGCTCTAGAATGCGTCCTTCTGCGGCAGAAAAATAAAGGAAGAGGTAAAGACGAGACGTTCGACGAGGGCGAACAGAGAGAGAGAGAGAGAGAGAGAGAGAGAGAGAGAGAGAGGCGGGATTGTTGCAATCATCGTCTTTACAAACTAGCCGTGGATTCAATAGAGCAAACTGTCGCACTTGGAGCGTGATATGCCTCCATTTCCGGCGGACTGCCGGAATAATCGGCCATAATCGCCGCGATAACAACACAAATACTTTCCTGGAACCAATTATCGTTTCTCGTGCTGTGCTATTTTCCAGCGGCCTGGAAAATTGCCAGTTGGTTATGTACGGGCGAAAAAGCGGCTCGTTTCCGCTGCTAATGTGTACCAACACCGACAACCGCGTGGATGTCGCGGCCTTAAGTGCAAAGTTTCATCCTTCAGGACGTACGGAAGCACCGGCGCGATCTCATCCTCTCTCTCTCTCTCTCTCTCTCTCTCTCTCTCTCTCTCTCTCTCTCTCTCTCTCTTTCTCTGAAAAGTCCGCGGAATTTGACAATCTTATTAGTAGTCGAGAGCTATTACCGGAACGTTCTTCTCGGCTTCTTCCTTTTTTCCTAACAAGAAGGCGGGTCCGCCAATCAAGTAACGAAAGAGGGGCGGGCGAGGGCGCCAGGATTGAACTCACCCGGTATCGTTCTTGATGGCTCATAAACCTTTCCCTAGGCTAACGTGAAAACTTTAATGCGCCTGACGTAAATCGCGCGGGATCGGTCACGAAGGCCCGGAATAAGTTTATAATCGTGGTATCGCGGGGTTCTGGAGATTGTTTCACTCCTCGACATCCCACACAATTCGTCGGGCGAGTATACCACGCGCCCGGAGAACCTCGCAATTTCCTGTCCGGGCAGCTACGAGATTTATTATGCTAATGGTAGACCGTTTTCCAGCGCCAATAATTGTGCGATTGCAATTACAGCGCGCTATCGACCCGCGAAGTACAGGACGAACGTGAGCGAGACTTTTAGCGTTTCGGCCTGGTCAATTAGGAGCGATCTGCCTGCGTTTCGGTCGCATTCTACCGCTGTGGGCGAATAATTATCACTGTTCGAGAAATGTTTCACGTCCCCACAAAAGCACTCGAAGAAGTGATCCGATCGTCTCGAACGAGACAGAGCTCGTTATTTCGATTGCACACGAATCACAGGAATTCTTACGTTACTGCAACACGTTACGGCAAATTTTCCTCGTGCTCCTCTCGCCGCGCGGGAAAGTCGACACATTTGCGAGCCGAAACTGCTGCCATTTCCTCTCGCACGGTGAGCTTCGATTCGCGTCAAACTCATCGGCATTTCGCACGGGAAGCGAAACGCCCCCGACGTGCCCTTTTTTCCGCCGATTCCGTATACGCATTCTAATCGTTCTCTCTCTCTTTCTCTCTCTCTCTCTCTCTCTCTCTCTCGCTGTCGCTCTCGCTCTCGCTCTCTTCCTCTCTCTATCGAAAGCTCGCGCGGAAAGTTCCGGAAGCAGCAAACTCGCCTACGTGCGCGGAAAGGCGCGCGCCGGCCATAAGAAAATATTGAATTTCCGATCAAAAGGAAATTACGCTCGAGTTAAAAGCCCCTTTATGTCACTCCCGTCTACCCGGCCTTTTCTGCCTAAAAAAAGCTGAACGAGACAAACACTTCCTGTAGGAAAGGGGGACAGAAACATCGCTGGAAACGAAACGTGATGTCAAAATGATAGGATCACGTGATCGATGCTCTCTTTGCCTCTCCCTCCCTCCCACCTTTCCTCCCATCCGCTCTCCTCCCTCTACCCCGTCTTTTATTGCGCGGAGGAATTTAATCGATCGCGCGCGTGCTCCGTTTAATTCTATAACGCCGGGTAGAGCGGAAAATCGCCCGCGAATTATCGTTCGCCACGAGATATCGGATTATGCAATTCCGCGTCGGTGCTCGCGCGCGCGCGTTTATGAACAATGCGTTGTGTTCATAAAGCGTGACGCGATCTTACACAATTAACATTCTCCAGATGCTCGCGCGCGGACGCGCGAGCGTGTGTCGCACTCTGCCCCCGCGAATATTTTAACACCATGCCGCCGCCGCCGCCGCCGCCGCAGCCGCCGCCGGAAATTAACTCGCCCGCTGCTGCCGCTTACCGATCGCGGGGCGTGCCTCCACGCGTTTTTCGCGCATTATCGCGAAGAGGCGGGATTTTCTCGCGGTTTCCCGACTGCCGCTGCGTGCCTTCTCGCCAAAATGCACACTCCCGTAAGATCCGCGGAAAAATCGCTTGATTTGCAGTAACGAGCGTCGCCGAGGGCCCTCGCACGCTCAGCAGGAGAGAAGAAACGCGAAGGAAAGGACGCAGGATATGAGGGGAGGGGGGGAGGGACACAATCGCAGCAATGAAACGCGAAAGCTTTCTGCCCGCGCGACTCGAGACATATTCCCGGGGCTGGAGTTCCGGCTAAAAATGATTCCCGCGGCGCTATCGGCCGCTATTTGACTTAAAATTCTGCGGAACGCTCGAGGGCGCAAACTAATGCCGAGTATCGCGGGAAGGAGGAACGAGAGGAAGTGCGCACAACAAGAAGACGCATCCTTTGCATTGAATCGTCACTTCCCACTCGCATTTCCATATTTATCGGTTCCCTCGGCTCCCTCGCTCGCTCACGCTCCGAAATTTTTCGGACCTCCCACCGGCCGGCTTCTCCGACAGGAAGCTCTGAAACGTTGCACAAGCGCGTCCTCGCCGGCAAACCACCCCCTCCGGAAAGGCTGCCGGTCCTCAAGACGAACCGCTTTTCATCGGCGTGAGCAAAATTGCCAGGATCCGCGAAAAATCTGCGAAGGTCTGATTCGTTCTAAAGAGCGGAAGGAGCGACGAGGGTGGCGTTTGGGCAATAAAGAACCGGAGCGACAAAGGCAGCGAAAGGACAAGGGGGAGGCGAAGCAGACGCGCGCAGTTCCGCACGACGGTGGCTCAAAGGAAATCGAAATGCGTTCGCGTCATTTCGTTACCTCGCTTTCCATCCTTTTCCGTTTTTCCCTCCTTACCTCCCCCCCTCCCCGCCCCGCCTCGACCCAGGCGTTTTTCCCCTTAAGAGCGCGATTTCCCTTGAATGTAATTTTCCGGGCATCCGATCGACCGGATTTCGCTTTCGTTTCTTGTTTTGCGCTTCGTCTGCTCCCGCGAGTTCCCCGGCTTGCTTGTCAAGTCCCGGGCGTACGGGCGACGAGACGCGGACCAAGACGAGAGCGGAAACGATCCTGCGGGAGGACTTGTGTTTTATCATCTCCGGTATAAATATAGAGGACGCGCATTTTTGCGCATTCGCCCCCTCCCCCCCTGCGCCGAAATTCGTCCCCGTCGAGCAGACGTCTCTGATGCTGCAAAAATACGAAAGTGCAAAATGAACAAAGGGTTTGCGTGGAATTTCAGCTGATTTTATTGGCTTTTAAGCGGCACCCTTTTATCCCCACATAGACTCTCTCGGATAATTGTATCGATTTTTACTCAATGTCTTTACCTTGTGCAAAATTTACGCAGGTAAAAGGGCGTCATTTAAAAATCGATGAAATCAGCCGAAATTCTGTACGGACGAAGGCGTCGCCGAAAAATTCTAAGCTTCGAAATCCCGAAATGTGTGAAGCAGATCGTGCTCAAAATCCCGAGGGAAACATGAGGAAGAAATAAATCTTGTTCTCCCAAATATCACATTTTGCAGTTTCTCCTGTCTCATGCGAGTTTTCGCGAAAAGTCGCATGAGACAGGAGATAGATAGAGAGAGAAAGAGAGAGAGAGAGAGAGAGAGAGAGAGAGAGAGAGAGAGAGAGAGAGAGAGAGAGAGAGAGAGAGAGAGAGAGAGAGGAGGTGAGCGGGAATGCGCCATGGTAACGTGGACGATAATACACGCTGATCCAGCATTTTATTATTGTTTATTCGATTTCATGCGGCGTTAATAACCGTGCAGCGGCACATAACGTCATAACGTCATCACGTGATACGAAGTAATATGCGCGACCGTGCCCGGTTACATTCTATAACGTTCAATCAACGGAATCCTGCGTACTTATTAACGGCATTATCGCGGAATGGCGCGTTCCTATTAATTATATTATCGCACCAAATAATTATTGCCGAGTAATCGCCGAGCGCACGCGCTGTAACGCCGTAACGTTACGGACTCGTATCACAGATTGTCAATCACCCCATTTATCTAGCGTGTCTGCATGCGCACAGTGTCGATCCTTTGCGAGAACGCTCATTATCTTACGGTGGCAAAAGCCATGTAGAACGAACGAAATTCGCCACGATTATCGCAGGTGCGAATCCTCCATATCGGGGATAAAAAGAAGAATGACAAACCAATCTTTCTAATCGGCGGCTTTAGCGGATGGTTTTTCAAACGGAGCGAGGAAGGAGGTGGCTTAACTCCCTCGTTCAACTCGATCTCGAGGTCGCGCTGTTCTTTGTCTTAACGCACATCCGTCATCAAAAATTTAGCCGCCTTCCCCCTCCCCCCCTCCCTCGCCGCCGCTGAACGAGTCTACGGAGACACGGTTGTGCTTGCTTTAAAGCCCCTGCGGAGAATTTCGATTCTACCTTAGAAAGAAAAGAATATTCATCGCTTGAAAGTTTGATGACCTATCCGGGAGTGGGTAAGGAAGGACGCCGCCGACGTGACGTCACCGACGACGACGAAGACGAAAGCGCGGACGAAGCTGCGCGCAGCAGACTGCTCCGGGCCTTCTTTATGAGCGTTTAATGCATTTTTGAAGGTTGGAATATCATAAAGACGAGCCTGTAATAAACTGTGCGTCGCTGGCGGCTTTGGCGTAAACTCACCCGCGATAACCAGCCTGCCTCATCCAACGGGAGTTCGCTTCTTCAGCGTCTCGCGTCTCGCGTGCTTATGCGTCTACATGCCGGAGATGAGAGAGAGAGAGAGAGAGAGAGAGAGAGAGAGAGAGAGAGAGAGAGAGAGAGAGAGAGAGAGAGAGAGGGAGAGAGGGTGAGTGAGGTAGAGG